TGGATTCAGCGAAGAACAGAGACTTACCGGAGAAAAAAAGCTTCGCCGAAGATAGACCTAGACTTTCACTGTCGCCGATGGTCGTCCAAAGAACAAAGAAAAATGATCTTCGAACGTAAGAGGAGGATCGTGGAAGGCAGCAATTCTCTACTTATAAGCTAAAATGAGAATTTTTACGCGTAAACGATTTTAAAAAAAACATACTTTAATTATTATGTGGTTTTCTAAACAAATCGTGGGGATAGCTCAGTTGGGAGAGCGTCTGACTGAATATCTGAAGGTCGCGAGTTCGATGCACCCGCTCACCACAATATATTTTTTATATTACCAATATATAAATGGGCCTAGGCTTAACATGTATACAGTTACGGCCCACGTTAAGATATAAGCTTTTAAATTATCGCCCACATTTCTTTTTATCTTTTCATGCTAGTATATATGTTTTCCCAAAATATTTTCGGCTACTTTTCAAAGTAAATTTTGTTTTCTTTAATTTACATTCTTTATTTTGGATTTTAATAAAAAAAAGTTTGAGTGGTAAAGTTACATAATTATGAAAATACTTCGGATATGAAATTTTATTTTGATTGTTAGTGATATTCGTTTTGTCAACACAATACAATATAAATTTAACATTAAAGTTTTCTGATAAATTATTTTTCATTAAATTTCTAACTAATTTGATAAAAGCTTTTTTTATTAAGTATTTTAGTTTTTTGGATTTTAATTGAAAAAACAAAATATGAGTGCTAAAATTACGTAGTTGTGAAAACTATTTGAATGTGAAATCATATTTTTGATTGTTAGTGGTGCCATATTCGCTCTGTTGACATAATATAATGTAAATTTAGCAGTAAATTTCTGATAATTTTGTTTTTCATTTGATTTCACACTAGTTTCACAAAATATTTTTCACTAAGTATTTTAGATTTTAATAAATTGAATTTGAGTGCTAGAATTACAAAATTGTGAAAAATTTCAGTAGTGGAATCTTGTCTTTCATACATACATAGCGACTCACGCAACCTATTCTTCCTTGTTTAAACTTCTATTATACATATAGAACAGTATTTTTCTATGGACTACTTTCAACCCATCAAACATTGATGGTATTGAAATTCCAACATCAATCCAAGCAAACCTGATAACTTCTTTGTTCACGAAGCCACACATTTTTAATTTGATTCCTTATACTCAACGTTAATGTCAGGCTGGAAAATAAAATGACATCAAGAATAGATTTATGCTACACAAAATCCCATTAACAATATCCTCAATCAAAACTAACGGTAATAAAAATTCTGTAAAAAATGATAATTAAGTTTAGTTCAAACATGCACCTACAATTTTTCAAATTTACGAGCTGATCTACGACATGCTCAACAAAAGAATATGGATTGGCTATGCTATCTTCAAATCCAGTTTTTCGAAACTAAGAAGTGCATGTGCAAAATTTTGACAAAAATCCTGTTTAGCCCAAATTTATAGTTAATACACTTTTTACTTGTTGTCTGACAAGACAATATTCTTGTTTTTGTTTTCTGATTTCTTAACTTCTTATAGTTTAAGGTATACAATATGTTTTTGCCTCATGTTTTATCTTAATAGATACATTGAAGATTTATACTCTTGTGTTAATTGATGTGAGTTATGTGACATCTTGTACTCGGAAAGGATATTACACATGTTCTAGACAAAAAGGCAAAGCAAATATGAATTGAAAAAGACAATGAAGACCATAGAATCTTTATGTGGATTTGTGTGAGTATAAAGAATTTAGAGTTGTTGTCAATATGTGTTGTAAATCTGATTCAAAGTAAATCAAATGTTGTTTTTCAGCTGGGACCAAAACGTAAAGTTGGAAATGAAATTTTGTCTTTGACCGTTAGTAGTGTTGTGCTCATTTTATCGATATAACACAACGTAAATTTAGTACTAAAGTTTATGATAATTTATGTTTCATTCAATTTGTAATTAATTTGACAAAAGTTTTTCATCTAATATTTTAGATTTTTGGAGAGATTTGAATGCTAAAATTACATAATTATAATTATGACAACTATTCGGACGTTGAATATTGTCTTTGGTATTTAGTGGTTTTAAATTAGTTTTGTCATCATAATATAAAATAAATTTAGTATTCAAGTTTTTTATTATTTATTTTGCATTGAATTTACATTAAACTGGTAAAAGTTTATTTTGTGGGCTAATATTTACATTATATCATGTTGACAAAACAAGTTTAACATTCAAATTTTGTTTTCTCATATTTTCCCTAAGTTTCAAATTAACTTTTTCTCACTGAATATTTTATTGTTTTTAAGTGAGATAGACGGAAGTCATTCTTTAATGTTAGTAAATATCAATTATGGCCGATCGGATCTAACATTTTTTTTTTCAAACAACATTAATCTAATGCAAGTTGAAATAGTATTAACAAGTCTATCTTGATTTTTTAAGCTAAAGATAAACAGTATATATAAAAGCTTAGATCTTGAATCTTGATTTTGTAACAATAACTTAAACGAAAATGGATCACAGTGTTTCTTCTCTCCAATGCTTCTTCTTAATTTCATGTCTATCTCTTTTGGTTTGTTCTAGCTCGAACAATAGTTCCAATTCAAGAAAGAAACCTATTTTGATAAACTTCGGTGACTCGAACTCCGACACCGGAGGAGTTCTCGCCGGCGTCGGACTTCCCATCGGACTACCTCATGGCATTACCTTCTTCCATAGAGGCACTGGTCGTCTTGGTGACGGTCGACTCATCATTGACTTTTTTTGTAAGTCTCATTTCTGTGAATATATACTATGCCTATTTACATACATGTAAATTTGGGTTTTAATATACGATTTAATTAGGTGAACATTTAAAGATGCCATATTTGAGTCCATATTTGGACTCACTCTCACCAAATTTCAAAAAAGGAGTCAATTTCGCAGTCTCCGGTGCCACGGCTCTTCCCGTATTTTCCTTCCCTCTCGCCGTTCAAATCCGCCAATTCGTCCGTTTCAGAAACCGTTCTCAAGAACTTATCTCTTCCGGTAAGTAACTATTCTACCAAATCATTCATATTTCTCTCGTAGTAGTTACTTATAAAAACTATACAAATTTTGTTTGGTTTATAGGCAGAAGAGATCTTATTGATGATAATGGATTTAGAAATGCATTGTACATAATCGATATCGGACAAAATGATCTTCTACTTGCTCTATACGATTCGAATTTAACTTACACAACCGTTGTCGAAAAAATTCCACCTATGCTTCTTGAGATTAAGAAAGCCATACAGGTCCTTTATTTCTTCCTCAAATCTTTTAAATTTCTTACATATATGCATGACTTGTTAAGCCCAAATATTTAATTTTCATTTGGATGATAATTCAGTAGATAAAACTCAAGGGACATTGTTATATGCAAAAGCTTCGTAGACAAATGGGCAATAGTTTATAACTTTTTGGCTACCTCCTAAACCGTACCTAATACGGCATGTTTGTATTTTGGTGTATTGTAATGAAGACCGTATATTTATACGGAGGAAGAAAGTTTTGGGTACATAACACAGGCCCAATGGGCTGTGCACCTAAGGAGTTGGCCATTAACCCGCATAACGATTCGGATCTTGACCCGATTGGCTGTTTCCGGGTACACAACGAGGTGGCAAAAGCATTCAATAAAGGACTCTCAAGTCTTTGCAACGAAATGAGATCTCAACTCAAAGACGTTTCTCTTGTCTACGTTGATATTTACTCCATCAAATACACACTCTCCAAAGATTTCAAACGATACGGTACGTATCGATCCACATTAATTTTATTTATTTATTTAAAATACACACACGAATAACACTTTCTAAAT